TCCAAGATGGCGGCGCGCTTCACCCTTCAGGCCGCGTCTCTCCGCGGGGCGCTCCGGGGAACATGTTACCTGCACATTATAAGTAAAATAAAAAAGGAAGGACATTAATCAATCAGATTAAATTTAATCAAAAAGTAATTACATTTGCTAGCATTTTTTTCTATTATTAAATTTGATATATATAAACGTCTATGGTCCCACCGCTTCGCTACCGGAAGTTGTTTTCTTCTTCCGGTTAAATCCAAAATGGCGGCGCGCTTCACCCTTCAGGCCGCGTCTCTCCGCGGGGCGCTCCGGGGATCATGTTACCTGCGTGCCCGCTTATCGGCCTCCGTTACCGGGATCAGGTTCGCTTCCCAAGAACATAAACCGGGCCTGGTTGAGTCCACGGAGGAGTACAAGTTCGTGGAACGGCTCATCCCGCCATCCAGAGTCCCGGACCCGCCCCGGCACCCCGGTCCCTCCCCGTCGGGCTGGGCCCCTCCGGCCGGTTCCCCTCCGTCTCTCCCCTACTTTATCCACCGCTCACGGATGCACAACATCCCGGTGTACACCGACCTGACGCACGGCAACCGGAAGACGACGCTGGTGCGGAAGGTGGAGGGCGACATCTGGGCCCTGGACCGGGACGTGAGGGAGCACCTGAGGGGGGTCACGGGCCGGGAGCAGCCCACGCAGGTCAACGAGGTCACCATGACGCTGAGGGTCAAAGGTCACTTCGACAAGGAGCTCAAGGACTGGCTGCTTAGTAAAGGCTTCTGATGGAGGAGGGCAGAGGACTGGCTGCTTAGTAAAGGCTTCTGATGGACCGGAGAGACCCACAGGCTCTGTACGCTGACCATCAGAAACCTGTTTCTGAGGAAGAGAAGAAGGCGGCTTCCACCATATCAAAGAACTCAAATTAAAGAGATTTAAAATGCTGATTAACTGTAAATACTTCTGTACCAGTGTGACATTAAACAGAAAATCAGACAACCCAGTGTTTGTGTTGATTTTATTATTAAAAACTAAACTCATTCCACATAGAAAGTCATTTATTTTTTCTTGATTGATTTATTTATTTATCTATTTGAATAGGGACAAAGTACATTAATGAACATCAGTATACAAACAAATGTAAATATGCCGGATTATAGCTACAAAGCTAGTTTTCTTCCGTAGTCCCTAGGCAGGCAAATACATAAGAACATATAATAAACAATATAAGCATCACAAGTAAATGTTAATAAAGGAGAGTCTACAGTTTTCTCTCTTTCAGGGGTGTCAAACTCTGTTTTAATTAAATTTGGACCGCGGGACAATACCAAATGACTCTGAGAGCTGTCCCCCAGTATTATACTGTACAGCACATTAACAGGTTGTACTACAACTCCCATAATGCCCTGCTGCTGTTCAGGACCCAGAAACTCCTCTGTGACAGTAGCTACACACTACAGCTGTCACTGTGCTGCTTCCCAAAAATGACCAAAAGAAAGAAACAGGAGCTTTCTGGACAAGCTCATTTCATATAGATATTTAATTCAGAAGGCTGCCAATAGAAAATGTTTTAAAATTTTATTTTATAACTGAATGCCATTGATCCGTTTTTTTTATTCTAAATTTGATTTAGCACGTCTCTACTATTTAATTATATATAATGTAATAAGAGTTTCTTGTTTCATATTCAGTGTTAAAGCTAAATCCGTTTCATTCCATATCAAAAGGTTCATTTGTTCAATCTTGGCTTTGTTAAGGTGTTAAATTTTGGCCCACTCTGTTTTGGAGTTTGACCCCCCTGCTGTTTATGATGAAGAATACATCTCCAAACTGATGATAAAGTAAATGAGAGGGACAACGGGGACAACATCAGAAGTGTTGAGTTTACCTCAGAGTATTTATTTACTGCTTACATTTACAACATTTCAAATTGTGGGCAAAAAATAAGTTATTAGATGTTTTTTTTCTTCTAATTCAGAGTTAAAAACAGGATAAGTAAGACGTGTCCGGACAAAACACAGAAGGGTGTTAACCCTGACAATATATATATATATATATATATATATATACATATACACGTAGACGCCGCGTTGAGCCTGTTCGTCCGTTGCAGCGATACGTCAGCGCGTCCGCCATCTTGGATGTGGCAGAACTGCCCGTAAACTAATAAAAGGAAACAGGCTGAACTCCATAAAGCGCCTTTTCTACAAAGTGCTTTAAGTTAATGCTCCTTATTCACCCATTCACACACACACTAAATCATGGAAACAAATAGGCACAAAAAAACGTACGTTACTTTTAAAGTTATTATAAATGTTTACTCCTGATGTTCAGGATATAAGGAAACTAAACCAGCGTCTGTACTTTTAATGCTGAGTGTTTTCAGCCACTAATACGTGTAACTCTATTACTGTAATAGAAATATTGAAGTATTGGAATTTAACTTGTAATATGGCTCCATACTAACCAGTGACTGAAAAGTAGATGTGACTTGAGGGGTTTCTGGACAGGGAATTAACTTCGCCTCTGGCCACTAGAGGGCAGCAAACTCTTCTTCTACGGCGCTAAAACCGTAGAAGAAGAAACGATGTAAACAAACCGGACTGCTCGCGTTACCGCGGAATAAATCCTGAATTTTACGTCTTCCGTCCCGTTTTAGGCTCAGTCTTTTTTTCTGTTCGTATTTTAGTTTAGCTAGTGATTCTACATTTTTACAGACGACGTTAAAACGTCCAGTTGAAGATTTGAATTTCGGTTTAACGGCTCCTAACGGCTCTAAAGGACACGGTTTCTACGTGAAAGAGCCAATTTAAGGAATAAGTAATGCGTGAATGGTAGTATTTCTGCTGTGTTGGTGGTCATCTGTTGAGGGGAATAATGCCGTATTTGGGCGGTGAGGAGACGGTGAAGGAGCTCCGGAGGGCTCTGACCAACCCCAACGTCCAGTCCGACCCTCTGCGCTACAGGAACACCATCCTCAAAGTCATCAGGTACTCATCCCAAACGTCCAGGTCCTGTATAAAAAGCCCCAGACTTAGCCGCGGACCGGTACCCCCCCTACCGGCCCCCGGAAACCCGGTAACCCCTTACAGGTAGCCCCCCTCCGGCCCCCGGTAGCTCCGTACCGGTAAGGCAAGGCAAGTCTATCTGTATAGCACATTTCGTGTACAAGACAATTCAAAGTGCTTCACAGAGAATTTAAAAGTAGAAAAACAAGAAAAGAAAAATAATCAACACAATACGGACAACGACAGCAACAACAATAACTGACAATCGTCAACACAAACACGTACGGGATCCCGTCACACTAAACAAATACTTATAGCATCCAATAGCCCCATACAGCCCCCCCTACCGGGCCCGGGCATCCCCAGAGGGGAGTCCTGGACCCCGGAACGGTAGCCCCTTGCCGGTAGCCCCCCTCCGGCCCCCGGTAGCCCCTTACCGGTAGTCCTGTACCGGTAGCCCCCCTACCCCTACCAGACGGAGGGCCGTGGTCCAAGGGTCCCTTCTGCCCCCCCCCAGCCTGTGCAGAAATTGGCTTCAGAGCTTCCGGTTTTTGTGCTAATCCCAAATGTTCTGGTCCTGTATGAAAGCCCCGGTAGTTACTAGCTCACATCTGGTCTTGGTTTCTAGCAGCTGAGTCTCCAATAACGTTATTTAGGATTTGTTAAAATGCAGAAAAGAGGTGTTTTGTTGCTTTTTGAACTCCGGTGACATGTATGGCCCAAATTCAACACAAATTCAAAGAAAACTGAAAGCTCAGACGCTTTATTTTTGTATTTTAACAGACAAAATAAAGTGTTACCAAATCCTAAAATGTGTTTGCAGACCCTGTCTGTGTGAAAAAAAGCAGTAAAACCTATTATATTTGTATTTTAACAAATTAGAAACTTTCTCAAATCCCAAACGAGGCGTTTATGAATCTGTAGCTATAATTGTGTCTAGATTTTAATAGGTGGATTTAGGGTCCTTTGTCCTGGAGTGACTCCAAACGTGTGGATTTCTGAACCACGTGACCCTCAGAGAGCGTGACCCCTGACCCCTGACCCCCCCCCCCCCGCGCG